AGTTTTTTTCGAGTTTACCCGCGGCAAAACTTGACAGCTGTTGTCACAAAAAATTGCAATTTATATTTTAATTGTTAACTGTTACTCATGAAATAGTCTTGTCAAATACCATTCGGGCATCTAACTTTTCCTATGAAAAAAAAACAATGCTAAGTAATATTTTTTATCAAAATGCCTTCGTGCAGGTGCAAAAATCCTCGTCTTCGACTCGGATTTTTGTTGCCACCAACACTCATGCTTCTTGTTAAAATATTACTTAGCAACGTGTTTTTTCGATTTTTTTCGATAAAATAGATGCCCTTATGATATTACTTGTTTGTTTGGTAATAAATATTTTTTATACTTAATTTAAGCGGTTTTTTTACATTTTCAATTACATATTGCCAGTTTGTCGCAAAATATATATTTTTTAAATTTTACGGCTTAAAATTCAAATATTTAATGTATTATATTTAAATATAAGGGGCGCACCAACGAATGCTGCACGCAAGCGCCAGACACCCCAGGAACGGGCCTGAGTGCACGAGGTGAACACTTTGGCTGACCAATAAGTGGTCAAGAAATGGGGGGCGGGGCTTGTGAGCTCTGTTGGACTGGCTATAAAGCCTAAGAGCGCACTGATTCCGTAGCAAAACCTTCGCAGTGGCCGAAGGCTACGGATCTCGAATTTTGGACAGAAACAGCGACTTATGTGTATAAGCATGTTGCTGTTTGAGTCGTTAAAATTTGTATCAGGGACATAACAATAAATATGCGATAAAATATGATATGTACAGTATAGAAAATAAATTTGGACGGACATACAATAATTACTGACCTCGTGCACGTTGATAGACGAAAGTAGGAACTAAATCACAGGGTATAAACAAAAAACGATGCATATAAATGTGGTAGTGTCTCCCCGACCGTCGGACGGACGTAGAAAAGTGTGTGTTCGACCGTCGGACGGACGTAGAAATGTGTGTGCTCAACCGTCGCATATTTTAACCTCATTTTCAACTAGAGGCTAAATGTAGCAAAGTATTCCTCAAGGGTATGACGAATAGCTGTCATTTTGGTTATGCAGGTACACTGCATTGTGCCATACCAAACTAACCCAAACTTAACAACCCAACCCAACCGACCCCCCCCCATTGGGCCCCTCCCGCCCCATTGGGCCCCTCCCGCCCCATTGTCACAATCCAGCCTGCCCTTAGATATATTATACCTCTATTGCTCAATGGGGCGGGAGGGGCCCAATGGGGCGGGGTCGGTTGGGTTGGGTTGTTAAGTTTGGGTTGGTACAATGCAGTGTACCTGCATAACCAAGATGACAGCTATTCGTCATAACCTGTATGACAGCGGTCGAGATTTTATTTTCGATAAATTGAAAATTCGATTAAATAAAATTTCGATATTTTCATTTCGACATTTTGAATTTTCGATATTTTGATTTTCGACATTTTTTATTTTCGACATTTTGATTTTCGATAAAAAGTGTTCGATATTTTGAATTCGATAAAGTGAATTTCGATGTTATGAACGTCACCCATTTTAGATACCTTGAAGATCACCCTTCATCAAACCGCAAACAATTTTCCGCAGCGATCGCCTGTAAATAACCTTCAACTGAAAGCGTCAAGTTTAAACTGATGTACAAGAGAAAATATACGTATTTTATATATATTTTTTTCAATACAGGATGGAGACAGGTATTAACTACCCATCCAACTTAAAATTTACCTGAAAAAAGGGCAATTTTTGAGGTTTTGCCGATATTTTCCAGAATTGAAACACTGTGCGCCGTTTAATTTTTTATTAGGAATTAATTTTATGTATACCCTAGATTGATATTTTTAATTAGATAAAAAATATCACATAAGAACTTTTATTCTGTGAATTAATAATATCATAGCAGATATTTTAAAATTAGATTTAATTTTTAATTTAGTGAATTTAAAATATGTTTCTTATATTTGTATTATTTTGTTAATTAATTTAATTTTTATACCAAACTGATATTTTTTATTTAGTTAATTTAAAATATTTGCTTCTTATGTATTTTTTTGCTAAACACATATTTTTAATTCGCTAAAAAAAATTTTTTTATTTATTATATAAGCAGATAATTCAATGGGATATTTTTAATTTCGGGTCGGTTTTTGTGGCGTTTAGAATAGGGTTTTAAAATTTCCGGAAAAATTGGGAATTTTCAGAAAAATTGACTTTTTAATTTCTTAAATTTTATTCAAAGGGTAATACGAAAAAATGCAAATGTCAATTTTTTTGAAAATTTCCATTTCTTACGGATAGTATCCGTACACTGATATCGAGAAAAAAGTGAATTTCCGACGATGATTATAATCATAAAATATTATAAGTATAAAAATTATTCCTTTTTTTAATTCAGTAAGAATATTCTACCGGGCCGCAAAAAAACCTATTCGGTGCTGTATTAACATAACTTTTATTTAACACTTCGATTTATAAAATTATAATTTTGTAATTTAACTTTATAAATCATTCATTATTTTATAGTTAGATATTTTTAATGGACTCCTTTTTGCAACAAAAAAAACCAACAGACAGTATATGTTTAATTTTATTTTTTTTGTAATAAAGGATTTTTTTTATTTAAAATAATGTTAACTTGTTGATTGCCAGTTTTTTTTCAAATGTGTATATTTAAAAAAAAAAAACAGTTTTTCCCAAAAAAGACAATTTTTCCAAAGCCTAGGAAAAAAACGGAAAAAACAGGTTTTTCCCCCAATTTTTCCGGTTTTTTTTCGACACTTTAAAACCCTAGTTTAGAATAACAGGGGTATCCAAACTCTCAATCAGTCGGAATTTTCGACAGATTGAGAGTTTGGATACCCCTGTTATTCTAAACGCCACAAAAACCGACCCACTCCAACAACAAACTAACGTGCACTGTCCTTGTTCAGCACACGCTGGGTTAGTGCGACGTACGTCGTAGATCCAAGTGATTGTGCCGCCATCTGGCGACAGAGTTGGTTTGGAGTACCAGGGGTCTCCAAAATTTCAATCTGAATTACCAAAATATCACATTCAATGAAAAATATCTGCTTATTTTAAAAAAATAAAAATTATAATGAATTAAAAATATCTCCTATAATATGTTAAATGCATTTAAAAATGTCTCCTATTATATTTTTAATTTAACAAAAAAATACAAATATAAGAAAAAGTTAACTTTATAATTATTTTAAATTCAATAAATCAGTTTGGCATAAAAATTTAATTTAATTTTTAAATATCTACTATGATATTTTTAATTCTCAGAATAAAATTTCTTTTATGATATTTTTCATATAATTGAAAATATCAGTTTAGGGTATTTCCACGAAACCTTACCCCACCTTTACAAAAAATCAGATGTTTTATTTAACAAAATAACAACTATATCTGAAGTCAAATAGTTTAATTGCGACGTAATTTATAACGTTAAAATATTCGTACATTGTGATGCTAAGAAGCTAACATCGTTGAGTGAAGTCTTTAGTCAATGCTAACATTAAGAATAAACAGGGAAGAGTTTCAATTATCGATAAAATGTTACATTTTGAGAAAATTTTAGAAAATAAAGTATACAATATTTGTGCATTTAAAATACGTGCTTGTTTAAGGTTACTATTCAAGTTTTACACAAAAAATTATTACTATATGCTTTCAACCAAAATTTTACAATATCAAGTTTAGAAGCCAACTTGGTCGCATTTTTTGATTTTCTAAGGTCGCACCCGTTACAATGGAAATACCCTTTAGTAAGAATAATTCCTAAATAAAAAATAAAACGTCGCCCCATACTAAATCTGTCATAAAGGTTTAAATTGTCTTTCCAACTTAAAATACTCTAAAACCCGATTTAAATCATTTTATTTAAATCAAGTAATTTTATGTGTAAAAATTTCGAAATTTCTTCCATGTATTATTTATTTGAAGACCTACAAGGTCGGTTAAATTTAAAAAAAGTTGCGTAATTTCAAGTTTTTTAAGGTGGCATTTAATCATTGAAAAACAATTATTATTATTATTATAATGAAAGAAATTGGATGAAAATGTATATAAATGTGAATGTTTACAGTAAAACATACTTTCCTTAATTCCCAGGAATAACGACGTCATATCGATTTTTTGTTTTGAAAGGTTTTTAGTTTTGTTTATATTTTGAGAACCGCTGGCTTAAAAGGTCACTTAGTGTCATGGAAACATGTACGATAAACACTTAAATGACAACAAAAAAGCCGACTTTTTGACAATGGTATTGGAAAAATTACTATTTCTTAGTCAAATTTTTTTTTATAAATTTTGTTGGTAAATTTAGTTGTCCACAAAAAATTATCGCTTAAATATTGTGTTTCAGAGATAATTTAGATAATTGCGATTGTTTCAAAACGTTTTTAGTGGGCTGTGAAAAACCTAATATTTGAAGAAAGAAACACTACAGAGTATTAAGAAAATAATGTATTTCATAAATTTGTTATAATCACTACATTTTTTTATACTGTATTATACTTGTTATGGACCTTTGGTCTTTTCGGGTAAATAAATTAATTTAAAAAAAAAATTGCAATTATCTCTGAAACTATATTTATGCGATAATTGAAAAGGATGTTTTTTGGATATGTTACAAACAATAAGGAAATTACCAAAATGTATATACTGACTTAATATAAAACACTTTTACTAATTTTTCAAGTAATTGTACACTAGCTGGTTTAAATTTTCTAACAAGCTTTATTAAAAAAAATTCCTTCACATATACTTATAATTTCTTTTTACCTCCAAGATTAATATTTTTGCTCTAACCAAATTAATTTCAAAAAAGCGGTTATTCAACCCACTCTGGTGGACATACTGTATAAACATTACACAAAACTCACAAACACTTAAAACCTCAAAAACTGTCTAAAATATGTGAAAACTCTCTGGAATGCGATTTCAATATGAAACAACAAATAAAAAAGCTTAACAAATATCTCATGTGACATTTTTTCTAGTATTTCCGAAACTGAAAAATCCAACAATATGAACACTGAAAAGGACAGAATCCTCCAAGAAAAAGAAGCCGAACTGAAACGCATGCAAGAAATGATAGCAGTCATGCAAGCCAAAATGCAGCAACAGCAATAATAGACTTAGGACTAAAAACTGCATATCAAATATTTAACTTAAAAGAAGAAAGATATCTTTATTCGTTTTTGTATGTATTATAATTTTATATTTTATATATTTCTGCTCATATAATTATGTATCTCATGACGTGTGTTTTTGTATTATTTTTTTTACGATTTTAAGACTTAAGCGATTTTGTATACCGGTTATAGTGTGTTCAGAATCTGGAAAATTTTGGGTTTTTTATTTTGCTTTATAACTTTGACATTTTATGGAATTTCAACGTGAAATTTGAAGTGTACTTGGGTTGTACTTTTTTTAATATTGAGCTTCCATTTTTAAAGTCATATCTATGGTAATTTTAAAGTAATGGATAAAATGTTAAATATAGAATAGCTTGAAAACTAATGAAGCCAGACATATGAAATTCGTTATATACTTCAATATTACCAGTATTACCAACATATTAAAAATTCGTGTAATTATCCCATCAAGTTTTTTAGTTATGGCAAAACTAAAAATATAGATATTTCAGTGATTAAATGCACCATATATTTTAATAATTGAGTCCTATAAAGGTGATTTTTTATGTTTTATTTATCACATAATGCACTAAAACATTATTTTTTACGTGTATTAAGACGTTTTGGCGATTTTAAATACCGGTTATAGTGTGTTCAGAATCTGGAAAATTTTGGGTTTTTTAATTTGCGTTACAACATTGACTTTTAATGAAATTTTAACGTGAAAGTTAAAACGTACTAAAGTTATACTTTGTTTATTATTTAGTTTAAATTTTAAAGTTATATCTTAAGTAATTTTAAAGTTATAGACAATATGTTAAATTTAGTATATCTTGAAAACTAATAAAGCCAAACAAATGAAATTCGTTATATACCTCAATATTACCAGTATTACCAACATACTAAAAATTCGTGTAATTGTCCCATCAAGTTTTTCAGTTATTGGCAAAACTAAAACTAAATATATTTCAGTGATTAAATGCACTATATATTTTAATAATTGAGTCCTATAAAGGTAATTTGCACTGAAACATTATTTTTAGGCGTATTAAGACATTTTGGCGATTTTGTATACCAGTTATAGTGTATTCAGAATCTGAAAAATTTTGGGTATTTTAATTAATTAAATTAATTTGCTTTATAACATTGACATAGAATTTTAACGTGAAAGTTGAAACGCACTTAAGTAATACTTTGTTTCATATTGAGAAAATTATATCTTTAGTAATTTTAAAGTTATGAACAATATATTAAATATAGTATATCTTAAAAAAAATTAAAGCCAGACATACTCTATATACTTAGAATATAACCATTATTACAACATACTAAAAATTTGTGTAATTGTCTCATTAAGTTTTTCAGTTATTGGCAAAACTAAAACTCAAAATTTTTCACTAATTGAATTCACTATATATTTTAATAATTGAGTCCTATAAAGGTGATTGTAGATTATTTGTGATAATTAGCTTGGAATATATTTTTTTAATACCAAATTTTTCCCTTAAATATTAGTATAATAAATAAAAACTGTTTTACAATTTATGATCAATACCCACACGGAACAATTACATCCAATGGATATCCAATGGATTTCTTTTATGGATATCCAGGATATACATAGGATATCCGGGATATCCAATGGATAACCATTGGATATATAAATGTCCGACCCTCCTGGACATAGTGTGGATATCCAATGGATACCCAGTGGATATAGTATTGTATGCAATAAGGTTGTAATCTGTATTCAATATGGAGATTGTATGGATATCCAATGGATAACCATTGGATATATAAATGTCCGACCCTCCTGGACATAGTGTGGATATCCAATGGATACCCAGTGGATATAGTATTGTATGCAATATGGTTGTCATCTGTATTGGATATGGTGAATCAATGGATATTTACTTTTCAATAAATAACATTGGGTTTTAAAATAAAAGTCTTATTCTTTAATTTAAATATTTATTTTTATGAAAACATAAAATAGAACAGAAAACTACATATAACTAAAGAAGTGCTTGCCATCACTCTTCCAGCTGTCATTTGCCTTTTTATCAGCCTAATCATTTAGGGCCTATTTCACCTGTCTCCTTAAGATCCCCAAAATTTGGCCAATCCATCAGCCCATTTGTTTAACATGGCACAATGACTAATGTACCATGCCCACCAACACTGACAGACAGACTGTTTCGACCTGTTGGGTCTCTTCAGTGTCAGGCAGTTGGTGCCGAGAGACACGCTTCAAGCCAAGCAACCGCCCACCTATATACTAGTTGGGCGACCTGGACAGCGGCGAGATGCAGCGGCAAGGTAATATGGTGACATTTATCTTCTGTGTTCGCCGGCAGTGTTGTCAGACGTTTAAATAATTTCAGAAAGCTCATCAAAATGGCGGTTATATTATTAAATCTTTAATACTTAATTAATTAGTATACCTAGTATACCTATTTGACATAAATGTGGTGAATAATTATTTTAAATTTATTTAATTTATTTATTAAAACTTAATAAAGTACGGAAATATATTTCGTTTAGTTATTTTGCTTATAACCGGCAACACTGAAGATTCTCAAATTCAGCGCGTGCGTAGTACATATATGAAATACAATAATAAACAAAAAGGACTTTTTTAAGTAATTTTTTATTGTATTGCAGACTGTCATAGTCATATTATTAACAGAAATAATATTATTAATATATAAATATTATTATCTGGGTAAAGTGAACATTTCAAAATTAAAAATTTCGTAGCTCTTGGCAAAAAATTAATTTAACGTAAAGTCGTTTTTTTACATATGCTAGTTTAAACCATCACAAAATCCCACATGTATACATACAAGTATATATACAAGGTATCCATATCAGTTATCCACCGGATATCCAGTGGATATCCAGTGGATATACATTAGATGTACAGTGGATATACTTTGGACATACATTAGTTATCCATTGGATATATATTAGAGATACTTTGTTGAAATTGGGTTAATAACGATTTAAATCATATTTATTAATCATTACATAAATTTATCCTATAAGGGGCTATTTTAAAAAAGAAAAAAATATTTTTAATGTTTTTGTTTTTATTTGAACATCCAGTATGGATATCCATCGGATATCCAGTGGATATCCAGTGGATATACATTAGATGTACAGTGGATATACTTTGGACATACATTAGTTATCCATTGGATATATATTAGAGATACTTTGTTGAAATTGGGTTAATAACGATTTAAATCATATTTATTAATCATTACATAAATTTATCCTATAAGGGGCTATTTTAAAAAAGAAAAAAATATTTTTAATGTTTTTGTTTTTTTTTTGAACATCCAGTATGGATATCCATTGGATATCCAGTGGATATCCAGTGGATATACATTAGATGTACAGTGGATATACTTTGGACATACATTAGTTATCCATTGGATATATATTAGAGATACTTTGTTGAAATTGGGTTAATAACGATTTAAATCATATTTATTAATCATTACATAAATTTATCCTATAAGGGGCTATTTTAAAAAAGAAAAAAATATTTTTAATGTTTTTGTTTTTATTTGAACATCCAGTATGGATATCCATCGGATATCCAGTGGATATCCAGTGGATATACATTAGATGTACAGTGGATATACTTTGGACATACATTAGTTATCCATTGGATATATATTAGAGATACTTTGTTGAAATTGGGTTAATAACGATTTAAATCATATTTATTAATCATTACATAAATTTATCCTATAAGGGGCTATTTTAAAAAAGAAAAAAATATTTTTAATGTTTTTGTTTTTTTTTTGAACATCCAGTATGGATATCCATTGGATATCCAGTGGATATCCAGTGGATATACATTAGATGTACAGTGGATATACTTTGGACATACATTAGTTATCCATTGGATATATATTAGAGATACTTTGTTGAAATTGGGTTAATAACGATTTAAATCATATTTATTAATCATTACATAAATTTATCCTATAAGGGGCTATTTTAAAAAAGAAAAAAATATTTTTAATGTTTTTGTTTTTTTTGAACATCCAGTATGGATATCCATTGGATATCCAATGGATATCGTAAAAGGCATGGATGTTATATGGACATTGGGATAGCCATTGGATATCCATTGGATAGCGTGTTCTGTGTGGGTATGTTATAGGTTAATAATGTATTGGTATTTTAGTAATAAAACTTCATGAAATATAAATGTTTTGTTTAATTTATAACACACCTACATAATACTTAAACATGGTAATGGAATGGTAAAAAAATATTTATTAATTACAAAAATTATTACAATGCATTTTCTTGTTTTAACATCTTCAACTTTTTATCAGCCCCCCATTTGTATTTACTCAACCCCCCCGATTTACTGATAACCCTGTGACAGGGCACCAAATAGGAAATATTATTTTTAGCAACTGCTCTAGCGACAGCCCTTATAGCCTTTGGATTACCCAGAGATTTGGCAACGTCCTCGTAGCTATAAGTCGAGCCTTTCTTAAGGTTTATCAATTGTTTCCAAACGTTTGCCTCGAATTCCGTGCCTTTTAGGAGAATTGGTAGGTTTTTGTCGTCTTCAAACATATCTTTGGTTATTTCACTTATTTGTGTAGTATTTTCTTGTAGTATTGCTTTGGGGAATATTTTCTGTAATTCCGCCAAACCTGCTTCTTTTTTGTCGTAAAAACCCATAAAACACACCCTTTTTTCATCACTTAAAACACCCACAAAAATATCTCCAAATTGTGTTTTTTTGTAACCATAATTGATGTTTAAATCCTTCATTTTCTTTAAATCATCATTGGAAATCACTTTTATATCCATATTTACTTGATTTTCGGTCATTTTTTTAATCGGTTTGTAAAAAATTTCAATAATGGCGGTAAAATATTTAAAACCATAGAAAAACCAGAATAGATGCCTGTTAGTTCTTCCACTAACAACTTTAGAGAACCTTTGTCCAAGTATTAAAAATCAACAGATTTAATTTAAGTTTTTTCAAAAAAGGATTTTGAAGGTAATTAACGAATAAAGGTGAATAATCCTGAAGCACGCCTTCGCACCAAAATTATTTGCATTAAACGTCTATAATTTATAAACTGGTGCACACTTTTCACTTATTCATTCTCCTATAGACAAAGCACAATAGACGGTTGCATAACTATAGAACATTCGAGATTATAACCTATGTAAGTTTACACATGTCAAAATAATTGACTTTTCATCGATACTTAATTGATATTTTTAACAGTAATTACTTGTTTTTGACTGTTTTAAGTGATTTATACAAAGTTCCAGTTATTTATAACGTATATATTCGTATATATTTGATATAAATACAGCATAAAAATGCCAGGAGTAAAAAAAGGTGAAACTGAGGCGGCACAATTTCAAGAAAACTTGGAAGGGGCTTCTATTGACGATACTATTCAACCAAGGCAACCCACAAGCCTCCAAGGGCTTCTTAGATTTGCCATGGAGGCTACTAAAGATGAAGATGCACCCCATAGTTCTGAACTGAAACCAATGGACGAAGAAGTAGGTTACGTTTTTCGACAAAATTAGTTATAACGTTTATTGGTAGAATTAAATTCCATATATTTTTTCTTTATAACATTTCTGTAAAATTATTCTTTGATTTATCGGGATTATTTGTAATTTTAGCGTAAAAAATTCTTAGAAGAGGCTCTTAAAACAATGACTATTAACGTTGTTGAAGTTCTTCAAAAGCAAATTGCTGTGTTAAAGAATGTAGGGGAATTTAAAGCTAATGATGACCCAAAAGACTATCTAACAGCCATAGAAAATATATGTGAATATATAGACAATATAGATATTGCTAATGGTAAATTATAACTTTAAAAATATATTTAAAATAATATTCATTCACATTATTTTCTAGATTTCCATAAAATTGGTGGTCTTATGATCCTTAGACCGTGTCTGCAATCACAAAATTCCAAAATTAGGGCTGGGGGTTGTGAATTAATAGCTCTATTAACACAAAACAACCCAACCTGTCAGAAAATCATTCTGGAAAATGCATTTTTACCCGAATTGATAGCTTTGTTGGACACTGACAATGATGTGAAGGTTTCAATTAAATCCATCTACGCTATAAGCTGTTTGGTTAGGGAAAACAATGAAGGGTTTAACGAATTGATTGCACATAATGGTCTTCATGTGTTTTTGAAGGCCCTAAAGAGCAAGGAAGAACGTATTATTGTTAAGTTGGCATTCCTACTGAGTGCCCTGTGTAAATCACAGCCTGATTTAAAAAGTAAGTACTTAATCCTTTAGTTTAAGGGGTTTTTCAGAACAAACTGTTGGGTGAAATATGAAATTTAAAATAAACCATTTTAGGCAGACTGGTATTTTTGGACTACTTCCCAGTTTTAATAAGTCTCATAAATGAAGAAAGAAACATGGGTCATGAGTTTTTGTTGTCACTTCTAGTGACTTTAACCGAAGACAATCAAGCTGCCATAAATGAAATAAAAGATCCAAAATACAGGTTCAAGGATATTATTACAAAATACAGAAGTTCCATTTTGAATAGGGAGGAGTGTGAAGTACGTTTTTTTCTTGTGTGAAGAGATTTTGGTAATTTTCTTGTTTTCTTTTTCAGGAGGAAGATCAGTATTGCAGAATTTTGTTACATCAAATTGCCTAGGAGATCTGAGGGATTTTTTAGTTTATAAGAACTGATTTTGCATTTTTAATTTTGTTTTTATTTTTATTAAAAAAATATATAATATGAAAGGTAATTTTTTCACATTATTATTTATTTAAGGTCGTGAATGTCATTTCCAAGGTCAATACTGTCATCATTTATTTAACAGTTAAAAATGCATATTCAAGGTCAAATTATATCCAAAATAAATATTATTTAATAAAAGAATTTTACTTCAAAATAATGTTTTGTTAATAACAAATCATTTTTTCCAAAAATATTTTTTGTGTTTTAATAATTTTATATCAACTGAAAAATCACAATGAAAATAACGACTTTAATAATACATAAATATTTATATATAAATATAATAATTATGAAATTTAGTAATATAGGACAAAAGATCATTTTTATTGTTAAAAACAATATTACTAAATATTGTATATAGGACCTTTCAGGTTAGCACAGCAGTGTAGGTATTTCAAGATTTTTTTTTAATTTTTTAAGTTTTAAAACAAATGAGCAACAGTACCAGTGGGAACTGTATTTTTGAAAATTTATTAAAAAATAATTTTGTATCCATTTATATTTCTGTTTATGTCTTAAAAATAATAAAATAAAAAATTTAAGTTTAAAACCTTATAAAATTAATACATAATTAATTTTTTTATTTGTTTTTAAGTTTTTTTTTTTTAAATATACTACCCTGTATTTTAAGTACTAAGACAAAAGCTTTTACTTAAATTAAACGAAAAGATTTGTTTTATTAAAATAGAAGACAAAAATAGTCATTTAAATGCAAAAATTATTGTGTTTTTTTCAAAATTACAATGAATTATTGTATACAGATGTATTTAATAGCAAATGTTTTCTCAAATAATAGTTTTGTTGGCATTTAAAAGGTAAAATAAATTTTAGTACATATTTTTAATAGTTTTTTTTATTTTTTTTGCGGAATATTTAAAAGAAATTTAATATATTTGCCAAAATCAATAATTTGTTTATACATTTTCGATTTAAAAATTACTTTTGACTAATTCTTTAAAAAAAAACTACAAAAATAACAAAATACCCTCAAAAATATTTGTAGTACGGCCCTGCAAACAAAACCAAGAAAAGTCTATATTTGATATTTTAACGCAAAATCCAATTATTTATTTATAAATTTATATAGGAATTAATTTTTACAAATGTCTTTAAAATATATATATATTTAATTGTAGAACAAAACAAAAGGCAAAAAAATTCAAAATTTATCATTTTAATATATAACTTAAGCTACTTTGTATTAAAAATTAAATGTATAAGACCAGTTTTTTGTCCAGAATACAAATCTGCAGGGCCGGCTACAGACATTTAGGTGCCCCATGCAAAAGTTATTTTGCCGCCCCTCTTAACAATTACCTATAGGTATAGTTATTTATCTATCAAGGTAGTAAAGTCGTATTTTTTATCACGAATGTGGAAATTATTTGCAGAGGCGAAAGCCGAGGCAAATAACCACGTGAGTGATAAAAAATGACTTTAATGCCGAGGTGCATATTAAATTTTTTCTGAAATCACATTTAATAATACTAATAATTAATATTGATTATCAAATCAAATGTCATTTGATGATCAAATCAATCATTTGAATGTAGGAAGTGTCTACATAGACTCTCTATGGTGTCTACGTATACTGTTTGTTGCGACGGTTATGATATATTTGCCAGTCGCGGCGATTTTTTAATCTAATTGAGTAATAAAATTAAATTATTATTTTTATTAAACAACATTTTAGGAAAAGGTCCAATCGACCACCGCGACGGTGCTTTTTTTTAATATTATTGGTTGCATACAATACTCGTATTAGTGGAGCTTTACTGCCGATTTCTTTTACTTTACTGCCGATTTTTGACTACTTTACTGCCGATTTCGGATAAAAGTATACTTCGTAGTGCTCATTTAGCTATTGCTAAAATTTAAACTGAACCAAAACAAGAAAACTAAATACATATAAAATTATTTTTACAGAATGCAAGTATGGGTATCTTTAAAATTTTTATTTAAAGAGCTACAAGGTCGGTTAAATTAGAAAAAAGTTGGGTAATCACAAACAATTTTTTCCGCGTTTTTGCTGCCCTTATATTTTTTCCGCTCCCGTGCATGAACACAGGCTGCACGGGTCCTGGAGTCGGCCCTGTAGTTTGCAAGTTCAAAAATATATTTTTCACTTGCACTACGTATATATACTATAGTAGGGGAAAAATTCGCACAGATGCATAAATTTAAAAATAATGGTGGGACAAATTCGCACAGTGGTTTAATACTAAAAAATTTCGCACAGTAGCATAAAATTAAAAATTGATGGGACAAAGTTGAACAGTGGAATACATTTTAAAAATGGTAGGACAAATTCGCAAAATGGTTTAGAATTAAAATAATAGTAGAAAAAATTTGCCAAGTGCATACATTTGTCATTTTATCGCAAAAATATATAACTCACCTAACAACATATATATATAATTAAAAATTGAATTAGACTAATTTTACTCTTCAAAAATAATTATTAGCTCTACAGGGTGTCCGGGAAAAGGAGGTCAATCCGTTAACCATATATTCCTTGAGTTAAAACAATAAGACTTTCATAATACCATTTTTCAATTTACAGCTTCATGTTCGATATACAGGGCGACAAAGTTTGAAATTTAAAACTGATTTTTTTTAATAATTTGAGTAATTGATAAGATACTAAGTTTAAATTCGGTACACTACTTCAACATAAATAGTTGCATTTTTTGAGACCAACAAAACAAAAAACAATTGTCAAATAATCAAAATATGGGGGTCCAGTTCTCACTGACTCCCCCTATTTTTTAGTACGTGCGCCAATGACTTCCAAACGGTATTTTTTCAGGTAATCATTTATTGTTAAAAAAAAATTGTCTCTTATAAAATTTTGATAAAATGATTTGTTTTAGAGATAATTTGTAAAGTATGGGTCAGTCCATATCAAATCAACCAAAGGTTCTTCCCCCACCATCTCCGATTTTGATCATTTTTGGTAAATTTGTTTACCTCACTCAAAAACTCAAAAATCCCATATATGAATTTTTTTCGATAGGTGGTTTTTGTTTTATTGATTTTTGAAAATCAAAAAATTTCGATAAATTTGGGTCTTGCAAGTACTTACAAAAATAGCGATATCTCGTAAACTATTAAAAGTAGAAAGGTGAGTGATGGCTTATTTTAAAGGCCTATTAGAGAACTTTTTATGATATATCACATGACCTACATTTTTTCAAAAAAAATTAAATTTTGAAAATTTGATATGGACTGACCCATACTTATGTCTAAAACATATCATTTTATCAAGATTTTATAAGAGACAAAAAATTTTCAACAATAAATGATTACCTGAAAAAATTCCGTTTAGAAGGCGCACGTACTAAAAAATAGGGGGAGTCAGTGAGTACTGGACCCCCCTATTTTGATTATTTGACAATTGTTTTTTGTTTTGTTGGTCTCAAAAAATGTACCCGCACAACATTTTTGATTTCATATTGTACTCATATGGACGTCAAGTCATGATTTATAAGTCATGCCATGACTTCATTTGAGCATACATATGAGTCCTCATAGCGATCTCATGTTGTGGTCATGTCATGAGCCAGGATCCAAAAATTGGGTAGCGCGCATGCGCATACGATTCAGGAATCCCCGCGAATTTTTAAATCAATAATAAATTGAATCGTTCGTTCTTAAAACGACCAAGTCAAATTCATTTTTTACCACAAGAGCTTCTACATGTAGAATGCATAACATGTAGAAGCGTTTCATGGTAAAAAGCGAATTTTGTAAAAAAAGTAACCTAAGTATGTCGTTTTTGAAAAGAGATTCAATTATTGTTTAAGGTTAAAAAATTTAAAATTAAAAAACAAATTGCATATTTTTATAGTTGTTTATTAGTTAATTAAAAAGCAAATTTTGTAAAAAAAATTACTTATGTGGTCCCTGGTGACTCTTGGGTTTTTTTGCAAGCCATGGTTCTTTTGTTGGGCAAGCAGTGGCGGATTGGGGATTTTGGGTATACCAATATCTCAGATATTAGACATGGGACCCACACCAAATTTATAATAGTTTATTATGACATTAAATAGACAAGTTCGGCGCAAACAGAATTTAAATTGAAGTTTGCGAAAAAAAGTTAGTTTTTTGTGTCGCCTCACCTGGCTTCTGGCCCCCCCATTTGAGATAATTCAAATTAAAGTTGTGCAATTTATACTTTACTATAATTTATCGGTAAATTTAAAATTTTATTTGAAAAATCCAAATATTACAGATTTTATACCATATTAAATATTTTTTTATTATAATAAAATAAATAATAAAAATTTAAAATCGTATAAAATCTGAGGAGCGTTTATTCAAAAAGGGACATGTCCATGTTAGCGATTTGCAGAAATAAGTCAAAAGCAAAGGAATTCTGTTATTTTTGACTTGTTTCTGCAAATCGCTAAAATGGACATGTCCCTTTTTGAATAAACGCTCCTCATCTGTAATATTTATATTTTTTAAATAAAATTTTAAATTTGTCGATAAATTATAGTGGAGTATAAATTGCACCACTTTAATTTGAATTATCTCAAATGGGGGGGGCAGAAGCCAGGTGAGGCGACACAAAAAACTTTTTTTCGCAAACTTCAATTTAAATTCTGTTTGCGCCGAACTTGTCTATTTAATGTCATAATAAACTATTATAAATTTGGTGTGGGTCCCATGTCTAATAACTGAGATATTGGTATACCCAAAATCCCCAATCCGCCACTGGCGCAAGGTATCGTTGTTTTGTAGTCCTAAATACCTCTTCTACATGTTCTTTAAATTCGGACATGTCTGATGGACCTTGTGCAGTCCATGGCAGCTTCTGTAAAATAGAAAATAGTACAATGCATTTCTACGAACCACAGGTATAAATTTTGACTTCGATTGCACTCAGCTGTGCTGTCATTATTCAATAAGTTTCTTGCCGTTAATTGTCAAAATTTGCATTTAATGCCTATATTAATCACGCACATAAATTATAAACCCAGATAAACATTTCACATAAATTTAATTAACGTTCGTATTTCACACGTTTCAATTTTGCAGACATTACAAAAAAAACCTAAGTTATATTTTGAGGTTAAATTAATAATAATTATTATTTAATAAATAATTATTAATTTTGTTAACAAAAAAACAATATAATACTTAATAAATTCATGAATAAGTAAAATGTAAATTTGAAAACAAACCGACTGTCAAATAATTTAATAAGCGAGGACATGTCACATGTTTAAATTAAACAAAAAAAAACGAAACTTACCTACCTTCTTTTTCCCAACACGATCTGTGCACTTATATTATAATTATAAACTATTATAAATAATTATTACAACCATAGAAACAGAATATTACAACCACTTAAACAAATAAAACAATCGGGCAAAGACGACACAGCTTGTTCCATGCGCATTCATATGCGCAGCCGGTGGAGATCTTCGAAGCGCGAATATTCAAAAGACATCACGGCGGATCATGCCGTGAACTTATCATGACTCTGAACTCATCATGAGTTCTACACGAGCACAAAACCGTGAAGTCATGACATGAGGTGGTTCATGAACTCATGAATGTTGTACGGGTAACTATTTATATTGAAGTAGTTTACCGAATTTAAACTTAGTATCTTATCAATTACTCGAATTATTAAAAAAAATCAGTTTTTAATTTCAAACTTTGTCGCCCTGTATATCAAACATGAAGCTCTAAATTGAAAAATGGTATTATGAAAGTCTTATTGTTTTAACTCAAGGAATATATGGTTAACGGATTGACCTCCTTTTTCCGGACACCCTGTATATAGGTACCTAATTATAGATATATGAAAATTTT